TATATATCTCTGTCCATCCTCGCCCTTTTTCTGAGTTATTTCTTTACAAATGACTGGTCTTTCCTATCAGAAATTCAGTCCTGGCTACATGATAAAACTTGAAGAATATTTATGCAAAGCCTAGAAATAGATAAGGCAAGGAAACACCATATGCCTCTTAACAAATAGTTTTCTTCCAAAGAGGTTAACATTATGCTACAATCAAATAATGAAATAGTTTTTTGAGATTCTATTAAATGTATTGTCACATCACTGAGGTTGACGTGCTCGTTCTGGCATTTGGACAATTAACAATTGATGTTTACAGAGAAAGTGTAATCATCTATATGCAATTTTATGTATTTATAATTAATACATTTAGAGAAACCAACTTTGTTGATTTTTAAATCATTAACTCTATTCCAGAAGTAGCTGACTCCATATGACAATCTTACTTGGAAAAATTAAAGTGTATGGTTGGTGGAAATGATTCTTTGTTGAAATTTATTTAAACCACTTGCATGTTCACTTTTTACCAATATCCAGATTCAAAATAGTTTATGATCAATAAAACTTACCACAATTGTTTTGTACTGAGTAAGGACATGCGGCACTGGATAATTGCATAGTACAGTTGCAATGAGAAACTATCTGAAATACTGAGTAGTTGTTAATTATGAATTCTGCCTGGATCTTCAAGAAAAGTTGGTAGTCAAAATTAATAGTTTCCATGAATGACTACTGAATTGAAGCAGAAAGTCAGCAGAAGAGTGCACTCAAGAGAATCATTAATATTGCTTCGAATAAAAATTGAAACTACTGTGCCCAGTGACAGATCATTTTATATGAAGAGGGAGGGGATTTCACATTCCTGTTACTATCTGCAGGTTTCCACTTGAAATCCTACAGTATTTTGTGAAGAATAAAATTAAACTGAGATCAGATACTACATTTGATCTTAAGACCAGAGAGCGATGAAGATTAATTAAGTTCAAAATTTGGTCCCTGAATAAAATATAAAATAATTTAAGGGTCCTTTGAGCACAGCACTTCCCTTTATGAAAAAGAGATTGTAGTACAGGCTGTGAATGTTTCAAAGTAGGAAGAACAAAAATATTTTGTCAATTTGAATGGCTTCAAACCTCAGGAACTGATGACACAAGTCTCAGAAAAAGTGAAGGTAACAGTAGCAGGAATACTCAAACTGCATTTGAAAACCTGCAGAGGACAGTACACTAAAAAAAAAAATCTCCAAGAACCTGTTGAAGGAAAGGCTTCATCATGGTTCAGTCCAAGCCGGGAATAAACAACATGGTGACTGCTTTAGAAAGAAGGTTGCAGTTTATTGAAGAGGAGAGCCAGACAGGAAGATGGCTCTGGAAGAAAAGAGAGCGAGCACATGTAGGGAGTGGGGTTTTATACCTTCCTGAGACTTTTGTTTGGAATTGTTCCTGTGGCATGAACTTTGACCTGAGTCTGAGTGTGCCTTTCTGGTATTCTGATAGTGGTGGGTTAATCCTATTATGTCCCAAAGGTCATATCCTGCTTCCTTGGGGCTGTGGCTAATGACTCTTAGATTTTTGGTGTGAGGAGTTGTTGATTCTAGGAATCTTTCTTCCTAATCCCAGTTTCCTGACTCCAATCTTTCTGACAAGATTATCACATCTGCAATTCTGCAGACTTGGTTTCTGTTTGGGACAGTGAGACTTGGGGGTGATTTCTGCATTTAATTCCTTTAGGGAAATATATTCTGTCTTTTAAATATTTCCAAAAATATTTCTTTCTCTGGGAGGGGGGCTGACTTCCCACAAACCTAAACAAAAAACATCTATAAGGGAATCCCTCCAAACGTGCTTTTTTTCAAAAAGCAACTGGACTTTGGTTTTTCCTTGAAAATGTTTTGCTACTCATCCAAGAAGTTTCTTCAGCTCTTAATTGAAGAAGCTTCTTGGATGAGAAGCAAAACGTCTTCAAGGAAAAAACAAAATCCAGTTGCCTTTTGAAAAAAAGCACTTTGGGGACAGCCGTGACCTGGATGACTGAGAATCTCCAGACATCTATAAGGGAAGATTCTGGAATTCACAGAGCAGTGAACAAATATCAGTATCTAGAACTGGGTGGGCAACTACAGCCCCTTTACAACCTGTGGACATCAACTCCCTAAATTCCTGAGCCAGCACAGGTAGTAAAGGAGCCATAGTTGCCCACCCCTAATCTAGAAAATTTGTTGAAAACATTTAACAAGGAATAACGTGTAGCAATGAAACTGGTGATCATAACAATTTCATTGCCTTGAACAGGAGCAGTAAATAAATTTGACCAAAAATAACTGCTGTGCTCACGTGACTCTTAAATTATTTTATAGTCTATTGATTTATTATTTATTTATCAAATTATCAAACTTTTTAGTATAATATATTAGTTTAATATATTAAAGTTTATTTATGAATGCTTACAAGTAAGAATTAGTTTGAATAAGCAGCACTTGATCCAGTTTGCAGTTACATTGACTTCTCATTGACATGTAAATGGCTGTCAGAAAAAGTTGCCTGAGATGGGCGGTAAATAACTTTGATAAACAAACAAACAAATAAGTTTCTCCTTCAAGAAGACCGAAAGTCCATTCTTTTTCCTGACCTTCTACTTAGTTTTCCCATTATTTCAGGAACATTTTCAAATTGACTGGTATAAAAGCATCTTGGATAATGAGGATGATGACTTCCAACCTTATACAGGTATTTCTCAATTTAGTACCATTCATTTACTGGCCATTCAAAGTTACAACTGTACTGGGAAAAAGTGACATGACTACTTCTCACACTTGCGACTGTTGAAGCATCCCCATGGTCACATGATCAGAATTCGGACAATTGGCAACTGGTTCATATTATCTTATGTATCTATGTGGTCTTATAATTATTATGTTTTAAACTTAGTTAACTGTTGGAAGACAAATAGGAAATTAAACATAGAAACTGAGAGCCAGTATGGTGGTTAAAGGCACTGAGCTAGAAAGTAGGGTACTGTGAGTTCTAGTTTGAGTTCGGATTTAGGTGTGAAACAGCTGGGTGACCTTGGGTCAGTCACTCTCTCACAGCTCCAGGAAGAAGCCCCAGAAAGAACAAACCACCTTCAAACATGTTGCCAAGAAAACTCCAAGGACTTGTCCTCCAACAGACACTCTCAGCAGTAAAATACTTGTTCACATACACAAGGTGAAGTGAGTACATCAGAACTTTGTGTAACTGCTTTCTAATATTGCCCCATACATTCTATTACCTTTCTGATAATTTCCATTGGTATGTAATTCAAGGTGAGAGCTAGTCTGTTGCAGTGGTTAAAGTACTAGACTAGAAGCCAGAGACTGAGAGTTCCGGCTTCACCTTGGCACAAAACCAGTGAGGTGACCTTGGGCCAGTCACTCCCTGTCAGCCTTTAAAGGCAATGGAAGGCCACATCTCAACTCTTGCCATCAAAACTGCAGGGACTTGTCCACTTGCCAGGAGCAATGCTTCCTCAAAGCCATAATAATAATAATAATAATAATAATAATAATAATAATAATAATAATAATAATAACAATAACAACAACAACAACAACAACAACAACAACTTCCACATCTGTCTATCCCAGGTGCTTAGTAAGGACTTGCTAGGTAGACAAAAATGCCAAACCCAGTCTGGACATCTGGCTGTGTGAATAACAACAAGAACAGTAATAATAATAGTAACAACAATACTATATAATAATAATAATAATAATAATAATAATAATAATAATAATAATAATAACAACAACAACAACAACAACAACAATAATAATATATAATAATATAATAATACAGCTGATTGATATCGTTGTACCAGGAGATGCCAGAGTCGAAGAAAAAGAACTGGAAAAAATTACGAAATATCGCGACCTGGCCATCAAAACTGTGCGATTATGGATGAAATGTGTAACAGTGATACCCATTGTCATCGTGGCACTGGGAACTATGTCCAAAAACTTTGCAAAATATTTCAAGAAATTGCAGCTTTCTGCAATAACTCCAACAATGCTACAAAAAACTGCACTACTCGGAACCTCTTACATTTTAAGGAGGTACCTGGTTGATACCTAGGATGCTGGCGGCAACCCGTGTCAACCATCAGCACCAGTCAGTTTGAATGTTCAGTTGACTGAGGTTCACATCTAATGAATAATAATAATAATAGTGATGATGATGATGATGATGATGATAACAACAACAACAACAACAACAACAACAACAACAACAACAACAACAATAATAATAATAATAATAATAATAATAATAATAATAATAATAATAATAATAATAATAATAATAATTCAAGAGAACACCACCTGGCCATCAGAAGGAACTAGCAAACCCTCTGGGTCAAAATTAATACAGAAACAATTTCTTTCCAGTAGGTTCGAGGTACAAAGAGAGCGGCACATTACAGGAATTACCGCCGGATTTCTGCTTGTTGGTCAGCAAAAAGCCACGGCGCGTCGTCCCGCGAGCGAGCAACCTGCAAAGAAGGGGCGCGTCTCTGGAGATTCTCAGCCATCCAGGTCCGGATTCTCCCAAAGGTGCTTTTTCAAAAGGCAGCTGGATTTTCTTTCTCAGAAGAAGCTTCTTGGATGAGAAGCGAAACGTCTTCAACAAACAATAAACAAAATCCAGCTGCCTTTTGGAAAAGCGCCTTTGGGGTCGTTAAGGGGCAGGGAAGAGGTGGATTTTCTTCAGAGCCGCTGGCGGCGTTGGCTAAGCTGCGCTTCTGTTTTTGCTGGCGAGGAAGCGAGCGAGGGGGACGCGCTGTGAGCGCGCAGTGAAGCGTCCGGACTCTGCCGGCTAAAGGAAAAGCGGGCCAAGAGGAACCGGCTCCCGCTCTTTTCCAGCGGCGAATAGCGGGCGCTGACGGGGCGTTTCCCTCCTACGCGATGAACGAAGCTGCGCCGACAAGACGAAAAAGCCGCGCTTGTTGCTGGACGAGCTCCTTTGGGCTGCGAGGGAAGGAAGGGGAGGGACCGCCGCCGGAGGAAGGCTGGTGAATCCTGGGCGCGCTCCACGGTCTCCCCCGGCGAAGAAGGGAGAGGCGATGACTTCGCTCAGCCTCGTTCAGCCCCCCGAAGAGGACGCCCGTGGGAAGATCAGGTAAAGCCCGCTCCTTCCTGCCACGTTTGACTTTTCTAGCGGACTTATTGAGGAAGTAAATACACTTGTAACGAGGCTCGCTCGGAATAAGCGAGTTGTAGGGTTGCAGGCGAGCGGAGAAGTCGTGGGTTCCTGGTTGAGGATGCGGTGGGATTTAGGAGAGTTAACACCTAATGCTTTACCTCGGGAGGCACCAGATTGTCGATGTCCCCACCTCTCCAGCACGACCTTCTCTATTCCTCCTGCCTGCTGCTCAACCCCAAAAAAATCCTGGTTCCAGATTTTGGGAATATTGATGTACTCCAACTCATTTCCAGTCTTTGTAGTGACCCCTCATTAAGGCGGCATGTACAACTTTGCTCCAACGTTTGATGTGTCAAAAGTATTTGCCTCTCGGCTACATTTTTATTTCTCCTTTTGTCCAAGGAGCTCCAAAACTTAAAATGATTCCGCTCCTCATTTAACCATTCATCTTCTGGCAAACCTGTTAGTCAAGTCAGTGGCCAGTTCTCTTAGGGCAGGCCATGCCCTCTCATCTGGTTCTATGGCTATTCCCTGTACCGAATATCGATGGAAATGTAACATTTCCCTTTTCTAAGTATTTTAGTTTCCTTAAAAACATCATACTGTGCAATACGCTGTGATAAGCAGTGTATTTTTCACCTTTAAAGGAACGTATGCTTATGAATGCCAGAGCAAGGGGTAGCACCTAGCTGATCCTGAAAATGTTAAGCAAGCACAGACTTGGTTACAACTTGAATGGAGACCAACACAGAATGCCAGAGCTGTAAACTAGATTGGAAAAATCTGGGAAAAGGGCAAGAGCAAATTTATACCTATCCACAGTATGCCTTTTCTGATATATAAGGTGAATGAAAGTTAAGGAAATTTTAAATTCTTCATTTTGAATTTCTTCATTTATATATGATAAACAGTATAAAATAAATATAAAAAGCTGAAAATATGTATCTCAGATGCACAGTGAGAGATAATATTGTTCAATGCAGGAATCCTCTATTATACCATTAGCATCCGTGACAGAAGACCATCCAGTCTCAGTTTAAAACCTCCAGGAAAGAGAGAAAGACCACCGTCTTCTGAGCCCGATTTCCATTGTTGAAGAGTTGTTCCTATTTGGAACTTTTTCTAAATGCCCAATCAAAATTGATTTCTTCACTGTTTCAAAACATTATTTCTTGTCTTCTCTTCTGGAACAGATCTGCTCAGTTCTGCCAATCTTCTGCTTCATAGCCACCCAGATACTTGCCATGCTTACACACAGTTTTCTCTTTTCTGGTTAAACCTACCCAGCACACCTATAAATCACGTTTTTTTCTTTTCAGGCCACTTATTATCTTGATTGCTTCTATCTGACACATTCCACTTCCTAAATTGTGGCATCTATTTTAGATTATTTCAAAAAATTAAACTAATGTCACAGAAGAGAGTCTTGAAATTAGTACTGTGTTACCCTCACCTAATTCATCATATCAGTTATCATCTTTAAAGTCCTAAATCGCAAGGGTCCAGGATACTTGAGGAACCATCTCACCCCAATGGAACTGGCCATCCCCACCCATGCCAGCAGAGAAGGCCTGCGGCAGACCCCATCGGTCAGGGAATTCTGGCTGGTGGGGTCCAGGAGAAGAGCTTTCTCTGCAGTGGCTCTGGCCCTTTGGAACATCTTGCCCCCAGACTGGCTCCCATCCTCTTGGCCTTCCATAAGGGCTTGAAGACCTGGTTCTTCCTGTTGACTTGGGCACCCTATGGGGAAGTATCACATTGGAGGGTTGATGGACCAATAGTAAATTTCACTCCTCCCCTGTACATTCTGTTTCCTCCCTCCCCATCTTTGAGTCATAATATGTATTTTAATCAGCACTGTTGATGTTACCTTCCCCAACACCACAATATCCAATTTTAGTCATTGGCTCTTTTAGCCAATTTCAAAGGCTACTAAATGGAAGGTGGAACCACACCGAAAAGGAGCCACAGTTTGCTCACTCTTGGGAAGCCTGGTCAAGTAGAAATGAAGACATTTTGTAGATGAATCACTTTTGTTTCTGCTTCACCTCTAATGCCAGGAGAGTGAAAAGTGGGATGCAGCTTTTAGTTTGGTTTTTTTTTCTTAATTTGTCCATGCAGTAACTTTGCTTTTATTTTTCTTTCCCACTATTCCCAATGAAAGGGAAATAAAATGCATCAGGGTTGGTATCCTATTTTGACCTGTTTAAACTGAAGAATAATGGCAGTCTTGTGTTGTTTTTTTCTACAAGCTGTGCTTGCCCTTGTGTTTCCTTGCATTTGCTGTGTTTTATTGCATTTTCTTGTTTCAATTATTTTCATAATATTGACATGCATGTAGATTTGTGACATCTTTCATTTCAACACTACCTTTCACAACAGCATTTTTCTTCAGATGAAAATATGTAGGCATTTGAGTATGATTCTGTAATCTGATTTTGTTTTTATTATAGAAAATAAATGTTGTGAGATATGAACTATTTCACTGAACAAAAATACTTTAAGTTGGCTAGGCACTTCAAACTGTTAATCTAGGAGGAGCCAATGTGGTTACCCAACAGAAATATAAGAGCTCTTTTTAATATCCATATTAGGACAAGATTGAAGCTCTTAAAATACTGAGGAAGTTTTCCAGTTATCCAAAACTCATTTAGCAATCCCTAAGCTTTTTTTTATTTTTGTGAATTGAACATTGTAGCTAATGTGATTAAAACATGTACTTTAAATTCCTTCTCTTTGCAGGATTTCCAAATATGTAAAATTTGGGTCACTGGCATAGAATGAGGAGACTGGGTAACTTTTATTAGCCTACTCTTTTTGAATAAAATTAGTTATTTATTGAGTGCAAGTAGTTTTTTGTTAAAATTGCTTTTATTTCCAATGTAGATTAATATTATGGTGATTCTTCTTCTCCCAAGTGGAGATTTTAAAAATTCAGTTTAGTTACAGGTAGTCCTTGATCTATGACAACAATAGGAACTGCAACATTCATTATTAAGCAGTGTTACGGGATCCCGTTTGAGTCTTTGCTGGAGCCCATCCTTAGAGAACTTCTCCCTCTCCAGAATGTGTGCACTGGGTTGGTCTACACATTGTATTTATATGGTGCTTAGTTGTGTGTGGGTTTTAATTGTTAGGGTGTTAATAGCCTACTATTAAGTCATTAGTTGTTGTTTCCTGGTTCACAGTACCTTGTCTCCTAAGTGCCTGGTAAGCTGGTAATAAATCAAAACACCTGTTTATGGAGATTCTTAGTCATCCAGGTCATGGTTGTTCCAAAGGTGCTTTTTTCAGGAGGCAACTGGACTTTCTTGTTTTTCTTTGAAGACATTTCACTTCTCATCCAAGAAGCTTCAGCTCTGACTGGATGGTGGGGAATGGAAGGATTTGCAATAGTGGCGAATATCAGTAGCTCAGGTATAGGTTGAAGGCGAAGGTTTGTTCTATGAGCTTGTGGGTTGGTTTCCAAACGTTTCATTTCCAGGCTAGGTAACATCTTTAGGGGATGTCTGTGTCAGTGCTCTTCTGACCATTGGGGCCATTTGGAGGTTATCTGTATCCTCAGGGTCACCTGAGTATTGCAAATGCATGTGGAGCCTTCTTGGCTGCAGGATGTTTTCTGCCCTGTTCCTGTAGTTTACAGGGTTTTCTGGAAATCTCCAAACCTTCAAATGGCCTGAACAACTCTCTAAAACAGGGATAGGCAACCTTGGTTCTTTTATGACTCATGGACTTCAACTCCCAGAATTCCTGAGCCAGCCATGCAAATGACCAGCTGTCTGCAAGGAATATAAATCCTTCCATTCCCCACCATCCAGTTGGAGCTGAAGAAGCTTCTTGGATGAGAAGCAAAATGTCTTCAAAGAAAAACAAGACAGTCCAGTTGCCTCCTGAAAAAAGCACCTTTGGGATAGCGCTCCTGTTGACTGACAAGGTGTCCATTTCCCAGGCTTCAATTGTTAAGCAGTTGTAGTCGTAAAGCGAGGCATCACATATGATTGCATTCAATTTCGCAACTTTTTTGCCATGGTGGTTAAACAAATCATCATGGTTGTTAAGTAAGACATCACGTGATTGCAACCTGTAGCCTTCCCTGCCAGCTTCCCCATTGGCTGGGCTGGTCAGAAGTCAGCTGGCAAGGCTGCAAATAGCAATCGTAGGACTGCATCCATTGTAAATGTGCAACAGTTGCCAAGTGCCCTATCATGTAATCATGGGAACACTTTTAGGAGATAGATAAGATAACCTTTATTGTCATTTTTATACTGTGGGCACGATGGCACACATCAAAAATGAAATTTAGTTGCCCGCTCTCAATGTGAAACATATACATGACACACACCTAAACATACTATGAACAACATATGTATAGACCCACATCCCTACATATACGTAGCAAATAAATATTAAATATTGTCCATCTTGAATATATAATGAAAGGAGGAAGCTTGAGAGTTCGCAAGGTTAATGCTATATGGAATGAAACTATGGCTGAATCTGGATGTTCTGCTTCGGATACCACGAAGCCTCCTCCCAGAAGGTAACAAGGAAAACAGGTCGTGAAGAGGATGTGTAGTGTCCCAGATAATCTTACGGACCCTGCTCAAGCAGCGCTTCTGTGCTATGTCCTGGATGGGAGGGAGGGAACTGCCAATGATCTTTTTGGCCATTCTCACCACTCTCTGCACCACCTTCCTGTCTGAAGCAGTGATGCCTCCAAACCAGACTGTGATGCTGTATGACAGGATGCTCTCGATTGTCCCCCTGTAGAAAGTGGTCAGGACAGGGGAAGGAAGATGTCCTTTTCTCATGCGGCGCAGAAAATGCAGGCACTGCTGTGCCCGCTTCACCAGTTTCTCACTGCTGAGCGACCAAGTCAGCCTACTCATTAGCTGCACACCTAGGAATTTGATGCTGGTAACCGTCTCCACAGGTGAATCATTTATGCACAGAGAAGTGTGGCTGTGCTTGCCTTTTCTGAAATCAACAATGATCTCTTTGGTTTTTCCGGTATTTAAAACTAGGCTGTTTTCCTTACACCAGTTCACCAACCCTTCAACCTCCTTGCGGTAAGGTGCCACCTTGTCATCCTGAATAAGGCCCACAACTGTTGTATCATCTGCAAACTTCACAATATGGTTGGTGGCAAACCTAGCACAACAGTCATGGGTCAACAGGGTGAACAGCAGCGGACTTAAGACACAGCCCTGAGGAGAACTTGTGCTCAAGAAAATGGTATTAGAGGTATTTGTTCCAACTCGCACATATTGGGGCCTGTTGGTAAGAAAATCAAGAATCCAGTTGCACAAAGGAGTGTTTAAGCCTAAAAGGCCCAGTTTGTCTACTAGATGCTGGGGAATGATTGTGTTAAACGCCGAACTGAAGTCGACAAATAGCAACCACACATGAGTATTTCTTTCCTCTAAGTGCTTCAGGCTCAGATGGAGAACAGAAGAAATAGCATCCTCCGTAGAGTGATTTGGTCGGTAGGCAAACTGAAGCGGATCAAAAGCTGGCGGAAGGCTAGATACAATAGTGTCCTTTATCAGCTTCTCAAAGCATTTCATGATGGTGGATGTCAGTGCAACCAGATGGTAATCATTTTAATTGTGAGGACAGGTTGTAAATCACTTTTTTCAGTGTCACTGTGTCTTCAAATGGTCACTAAACAAATGGTCATAAATCAAAGACTATCTGTACTGTTGAAAGAAGATTGTTGAGACTTATTGTTTTTCTGTAATTTGGTATATATTCATAGGGCTGGATTCTTTCATATGCAGATGCAATATGCCACTCAGATGTCTGATTGTAGGAAGGTGCACTCTGTTTAGTTGCTTGCCAGCAATTAGAGATATATAAACAAAAAGATAATAGAATTGGCAGGAATAAATCCTTCTTGTAGCGTATCATCAATAGCACAAAAGAGTTCTCACCAGTCAGTCAACCAATTGTTGGTGCAAATCACACTATAATTTTCCTGCTGCTAATGGGAGTAGAAAAACCAATAAATTGTTGAAAAGGAATGATTCTTGTGTTTTCAATGTCCTTCTTAAAAATGCTGAAGTCTATTTTTGCAGCCCCTGAAGCTATTTTTATTATAGTTATTGCTAAAGATTAGACTTAATTACCTGACATTTTGAGGTGTGATTCACTGTGTGAAAACCTTTGTAGTATTGGCTCATAGAAAAACTCACAAACTTCGCCCCCACTCCCAACAGCCTTTCCAGGCAAAACCCACAGAAAATCTTGGGTTTTATCCACTTTATATTATCTATCCAATTATTACAGCCTCAGCCACCTCCCAAAATGGATTTCTTGGCCTGCCATTGAAAGATCCCACTCCTGGCTTAGAGAGAGAGAAGAAAGCTAAGATCATTTTGTCTCTCTGTATATATACTATATGTATTTGTGTGAGAGAAAAAAATTGTACTTGAATGTTGATAGCTGTACAGTTTCCTTCCTTCCTTCCTTCCTTCCTTCCTTCCTTCCTTCCGTCCGTCCGTCCGTCCGTCCGTCCGTCCTGTTTTTATTGTGTTTTAAAGATGCTTTATATAACTCTTGTGAGCCTTCCAAGTTGGGTTTCTTAAATAAAGACTATATGAGTTTCTTCAATAAATAAATGTTTGCAACCCCTAGCCCAGCCATTTGTACATTGCTCCAAACTGAGAAGGTTTCTCACTATTAATAATTCTTAATATAACAGAATAGGAAAATTGTAAAATAATTTTGTAAGTTGTAGGATAATTGCATTCAATATATATTTCAGTTAAATCACATATAGTTTTTCTCCAGGGTTTACCTACTTCTTGGTCTTGGTCTTACCCATTTTGGGATAAGCATATACTTCTAGACCAATTGCATGTTTCTACTTCACCAAACGTTGTGTGCTGCTGTTGTACATGTACAACAATCTCTGAACTTTTATTTCGGTAAACTGAATATGAGCAAAATTAAGTGTTTTCTTTTCATTTTTTTTAATAGCTAACAGTTCGATAGGATTTTTCCCATCTTCAGAGTAGTGTGAGTAATATTCTAATAAGAGGTGTATACTATTTTGAAAATACAAATTATACTCAGCCTTTCACCTCCTAAAGCATTAGTGCAGCACCAGCTAGTTTGTCATAGAGTAAAATTAGCCCTGTCTGTGCCGCTAGTGAAAGGGGGTGGAATGTGAAATGTGGCCAAACATGTAAACAAGTTGAGCCACGCCTAAAATATTTTCCACTGTGGGTACAAGTGTAGAAATTCATTGTCAGGCTGAAGGCGTTTGATCTGAGTTAGATCTGCAGTTTCTGCTGTTGGTTAAAATCTTCCAAGGTAAGTCCTTTAGGCAAACATTATTTGCATAGGTATTATAAATTATAAATCAATTAATGTAAAGGATTAATAGACTGTTTAAAAAAACCTATGATAATTCTTTCAATTTTGCCTTTCCCCCCCTACCATTAGATTGCTATTATATTAACTTGAAACACAATACACAAGTTATTTTTGTAGGTTAGATTATAGTAACTATGTAAATGCGGCAACATCTGACTCTAACTTTGTGTCCTTGGCATTACATATGTGCAGTGAAATAAATAGCAATATCGAAATAACAAATATTATTCCTTTGGTGGGACAGTATGCTTTTAATGCAGTGAGCTGTCTTTTTTCCTTGCTGGTCCCCCCCCCCACTTTTTTTTGGGATGCTCCAACTGAAAGGCTGATCTTTTATGGGAAAAAAATGATCATGTTACTTAATAATGGGTGCTTCTGCCATATAAGGGCTTGAGTATAAAATCATATGCTGTCAGTTGTCTTTTCGTGGAGACTGTGTATTTGTCAGTCATGTTAACTATCTTGCATGATGCAGTAGCTACACTTGAGTTCCACAAATACTTGTTGCACTTTAATATTATAATTTAAGGAAAGTTGTTCTCATAAGTGGATAACCATTCCTGCATTAGGAGTAATCTAAAGAACCTTCTCTTACTGTGGCACCCTCCAGATTTTTATAAATTCATCTGGAACCAACTGGGGTAGTAGGGAAGTAGCTTATAATTTAGTATTTTTAATTGATTATTTATTTTTTAAAATGCTACCCCTTAACTGATTTTTGTTTGGACACTGTCAGTAAAGGTCAATTGAATATTTAGGACCAGATTTGCAGTATTTAGGGCTGCAGTGTGTCTATAGATTCTTCCCTTGATGCCAGCAAGTCTCTCTGAGACTTATCATTTATACCTATTATTGCATCTATATCGGATCCCAGGAAGGACGACTGCTTATCCCAGTCAATCCTATATGTCAGTTTCTGACATATAATTTTTGAATAACAAATAGATGCACAAATCAGACATATGTATACTATACTATGTGTACTATGGCCCTAATGTTTTACCTACAGAATGGCATGCCCAACTCTGAAAATCAGGTTCTGTGTTCTAGGGACACAAATAGGTAGATTCCTTCTTATCAGAATATATTGTTTCCAGGAGACTATATTAATTAGGACAGTGAATATAAATCAGTTTACTCATTTTAAGACTATTCAATAGACATAAAAAAGCAGAAATGGATCTATATATATGCATGTGATGGATCATTGATTGGTTATTTACCACCAATTTGGTATTGGCTTCTTAGTGATCTCATTGATAGATTTTTCTCCAGGATGATCTGTCCCAACTTGTCCCTTCAGGTCCTCCACTGGTGTTCCCATTACTACTATAATTGCAGGAATTGGGTATGTCTAGTTTAATGAAAAGAAGGACTAGGGGTGACATGATAGCAGTCTTCCAATATCTCAGGGGTTGCCACAAAGAAGAGGGAGTCAAGCTATTCACCAAAGCACCTGAAGGCAGGACAAGAAGCAATGAATGGAAACTAATCAAGGAGAGAAGCAACCTAGAACTAAGGAGAAATTTCCTGACAGTTAGAATAATTAATTAATGGAACAACCTGCCTTCAGAAGTTGTGAACGCTCCAACACTGGTTATCCAATCCATTTGTCTGAAATAGTATAGGGTTTCCTGCCTGAAGGTCTCATCCAACTGTGTTATTCTATTCTGTTCTGTTCTGTTCTGTTCTCATTAAATGAAATTATATAATTAATGTTTTTTATTAATGCCTCACTGTTTTGTTTGGAGGATCATCAGCTTGCTAAATTCTTAGCTCTTAGAAATCTACTTTTAATTATTAGATGTTCAATTTTCAAATTTGAAGTAGAATGCCCTGTTTGAAATATTTATTTTTAGTTAATTATGTCCATTATTTTTTTCTGTAGCAGATGGTACGTGAAGAGTATATTTCACCAACACCAGGTACTGACATACAGAGACCAGAACCTCCGTATGTCTACAATGTTGGCATTTATGGCTGGAGAAAGCGCTGCCTTTATTTATTTATCCTCCTCTTGATCATCATTCTAGTTGTGAATCTTGCTCTGACAATTTGGATTCTTAAAGTAATGTGGTTTTCATCAGTAAGTGTTCTTTTTCCTTTAATTGGATTTTGTTGTTGCTTTTGCTTATATTCTTACTGTTGCATTTAAGTTTTTCCCAGTGATGGTGCTTTGTAAAATATCCTTCAGTCTATTTACCCTAGAGGAATTTTGGAAATAATTTTTAAACACTGGGGAATACCTATATAAAAATCAACAAAAATATAATAACTTCATAATACAATTTATTCCTAATCTACAGGATCCACATTTTACATTTACAATAACAAAGTGGCAGGCCAGCAATTAGATACATATAGAGCTGGGATAGATCTGTGTTCAAGCTATAGATAGATAGATAGATAGATAGATAGATAGATAGATAGATAGATAGATAGATAGATAGATAGATAGATAGATAGATAGATAGATAGACAGACAGACAGACAGACAGACAGACAGACAGACAGACAGACAGACAGACAGACAGACAGACAGACAGACAGACAGACCACAGATGCTCTGACAAGTATCTAGTTTTAACGTAGTTATTTGCAGCAAATAAAGTTATTTTCCCCTGCTTCTATCTTATTTCAGTAGATGAGTTTCTATATCTCACCGTCTTTATGTGTTTTTAGTTTTAGTTTAGCCTGATGTATGAAATTCCCCCCAGCTATGTACTTTTCAAATCACAGTATTGCTAGTAGTCAATCATTTTGGTTTGTTAATCCATATTTAAAAAAACATCACTTCATGTGATATGTAATCCTAGCCAGAAGCTACAGTCTTAAATATACTTTAGGATAATTTGTATTTAACTCAGCATTAATATGCTTTGAATTGTATTCATTGATTTGTATTACTTGAAATTCATTCTTTAATGCTTCATGTAATGCAGTGCTCAAATATCTAAATTCTTAATGGGAGAGATAACCATGTAGATTTAGTTGCATGCCAGCAATCATGAATATACGATTCCGTTTCAAATAACAGTAATGTATGATTAATCCAAAAGGAGAAGAGGAACAAGTGGACCACTTCTAGCCTTTCTGTTATGCAACTTATATATTTTTTTCTTGGAATTATTGCTTTTTGAAGAGAGCTTGTGTATACATTGCTAGTATATGGATTGGAAAATAAGTCCTTGTGTGCAGCACCTTTTTATTAATGTAGTTCCGCTTGGGTGGGCATATTTGCAGATGGCTCTCATGAAAACCTTGTGTGAAAAAATGCTTGTTATGACCACCTTTCTTCCATCTGTAACATATTTATCTTCTGACTTTCTTTTTCATTAGGGATGTACTTCTTGAATAAATCATACAGTATTTGGGAAAAAATAAATCTGGTATCTTTGAAAAGAATTTGGCAATGTCTCACACAACTAATATTTAAAATGTGTTTTGCATTTGCAGGCTGGAATGGGATACCTACAGGTTAATACTGATGGGCTTCGTCTAGAAGGAGAGTCTGAATTTTTATATCCATTATATGTCAAAGAAATTCACTCCAGAAAGGTAATGATACAATGTTATGCACAGCTATTTGGAGATAAATCCCACTGATTTTAACAAGGCTTATTTCTGAGGTAATACACATAGAAATGTGCTGTGGTTTGTCATATTGGGAAAAAAGTCATATTTACTAGAGTTATGCAAAGCCTGTTTTGATTTGATAGAATTTCAATAAAATCGACCCTACAAAGCCATTTTGCTTTGAAATTGAAGCAAAGACCTGATTCAAAGCAGCAATACATATCACATGACTAAAATACTTCAGGGTGTTTACTTTGAAGCACATCACAGATCTGATATTTTTTCTGCTCATTCTGGCATTGTTCCAGCAATATTCAGTTCTGTAATTTCTCTTTCCATTTCAACAAATATGCACAAAGAATGCTAATTCTTGGATTTATTGGATGATAGCCTCCCCAGCATCATTGTAAGAAATTCTAATTAGCAGTCCTGCTAATCATATCATATCATATCATATCATATCATATCATATCATATCATATCATATCATATCATATCTCAGATTATGTCATATTATATCATATCTCATTGTAAGTTATGGATAATTGTAAAAGAGTGGATGTATTTATTTTTCAGTAAGGTCTAGCCAAATGTCTTAAACATTTACATTCTTTTTTCTCTTAATCCTAGGATTCACCCTTACTTTTGAAATCTTCTCATAATGTGACTTTGAATGCACGCAATAATGATGGAAATGTCACAGGCAGATTAAGTGTAGGTAGGTATAATATATTTTTCTTTAGTTTGGATTTTGAAAGGTTTATATCCAAAGAAAGGAATGTGTTTCTTATTATGAGCTCATATACTATAGGATATATATTGTCTAGATATGCCAATCAGTCAAATACTTGAAATAAAAAATAATAATTTTATGTCATTATCAAAAAATGAACATATCAATAATTTGACTTCAATTATAAATCTCTTTAGTGACTCAGTTCCTAGGAAGATACGAATATCCAATTTATGTAAATTATAAAAATATTGTTTAGATATAGATACATTCATAATTAAAAATACAGCCCTATTTGGATTAAAGATTCTGTGTAAAGAAACAAGATGCTGCATATTAAGGATTTAATTTATCAAATCTGGAATTTTAATTTAGCTTATTTTGTCCACATTGTATATATTCACAAAGAGCTATATTTATATTTTTGCATGCTGGCATCTAAAGTATTTTTCTTTCCATTTGGTTTAGAACATTCTGCTTTTTCTGATCAAATCAACCAGAAACGGAGAACATAATCAGATGCTAACCTTGCACTGTAGTTCAATATATGTATCAACTGATTAATGTAATGAGTCTTAATCACAAATTACTGAGCATAAGACTACAAATTTAATATCCTAATTATATAACTATATGTTGCATCATTGAGGATGTGTACTTATGTATTTTTAAAGCATCAGCAAAGAAAGTCCATTTTATGTTTTGTCCTTTTTAGATCCAGACATGGTACAGTTCCATAGTCAACAATTTCAGATCAACTCTATGAATCTCAATGAAAAGCCACTTTTTACAGTGCATGAGAGTGACACTGTGATTGGTACAGAGAAACTTCGAGTCACAGGTTTGTTTGCAAGTCTAAAATTACAAAAATGTTATTTTGAAGATAAAGACTATAATCTGAAATTGGTTATATAAATAACAGTAATCTGTTATTTTAATAACAATTTTAAGAGAATACTGGATATTTTATGAATACTGATGTTTTTAGCTAAAATGTTACATGAAACATCTTCAAAACTGTATTTTACATTGAGGTCTAAAAATATTTATTTTGAGTAATTGGTAATTATTTATTAGTAGTAATTAATATTTAACTAGATGGTAGGCAGCATCTGTAATACTTCTCAGAAGAAGGAAATGACAGAACATTTCTGCTCTGTTGCTAACAAAATTATGGGATGTGGAAGTAGACTTATCAGTTAAAATAAGGCAACATTACTCAGTTGAATACTGAGGTTGTAAAAATCATTGATTTGGCTGATGAGTGAAGCACCTCATTGAATTACTTGTACAACCTATTGAATGACGTGAAAGACATGTAAGATCTTTGGATCTGACAATACTGCACAACAATTTTTGGTTTGGGAACTAGCTTCTGTTTTTGTGAACCAAGCAGATTTCTGAGAATGATATTTTTATCACCTTTACCTTACTTCTAAAACTTTGTTTACTTACTTGCAAATTGGCTTCTGAGGATTGGGGAATGGTGTAGGAAATGTGCAATTGTCAAATGGCAGCAGGAATGCATGAGAAAAACCTCTTACAGTCTCTTAATAAGGGATCATAATGTAGGCTGGTAGGCTGAAGTGAGCAATGAGTGAGCAAAAATATGGAACTGAAGAGGTTACAGTTGTCTGCTTCACTCCCTATACCACCTAGAGTACACATTGTGGTTTTCAGCCAAACAAGTTTACATATAGGTTAACATAGTTCCATATTAGCCAACAGATAGATAGAGGTCAACAGGACTAGCAAATGTGGAAGTCCTTATACAGGAAGTCTTCAACTATAATGGCCTCAGAAAAAATAACTTGCGACCTGTACTTGCTCTTAAAAACCGTTGCAACAACTGTCAGCCATGTGATTGCAATTGGGGCACTTGGCAACATCTTACATTTAAGACCAGTTGCAGCATTGTGCAGTCATGTGAATTTCTAACCTTTTTTTTTTTTTGCCAATTTTGAGCAAAAAAATACCTGTTGGGGAAGCTGGATTCATTTAATGACCATGTGATTTGTTAACAACTGCTGTAAAAATCATTGTAAAATCAGGTCCAACTCAACTTACATTGGCAATAACTTACAATGGAAATTCTATGTATAAGTTAAACAGTTATTGTTACCCAGTGGGTAGATTGTTCCAATTAGGTTATCCCTCTAAGCAATATTTTTACTGCCTGGTAACTTTTATATCTAATAATTCTTCTCCATAGATCTAATTTTTCATTTCAGTTATGTGAATATTTCATTTTGAATGTATAGATTTAACAGCTTGTAAACATATGCTATTCTAATGTTCAGCAAAACCTCCAAAGCCCACAGTATTAATTAGAACCTCAAATATTTAAACCAGCCCAAATATCAGAGTACTCAAAATATGGTGGAATCTTAGACACTTAAAAGACCGTATGTACTCTGAATTAGCTTTGGATATTTTGTTGGGTGGTTATGAAAAACTTGTTTTCCACTAGTAATGCACTTAATTTGACACTTAAAAGTGACAGTCATTTGTCTTTTTTTCTGCTTCAGGTCCAGAAGGTGCCCTTTGCGAACATTCTGTAGAAACACCCCTTGTCCAAGGTGTGGGAGATGATGTCAAAAATCTAACACTTAAGTAAGAATATCCCTCCAAAATGAGTAAACATTTATTATTTATTTCATTTTTTTTTGCTGTATTCCTCAGTAAAGCTAGACTTGTAGAGCAGTAAGATGATAAGTAATCAGTAATATACTGAGGAAGAACCCAAAAGGAAAAGGATTACTAGGGAGAAACAAGGAATCAAACTCCATATTATCACATTAGTTATTGCAAACTAATTTAAAAACTAACTACGTAATATCACAGATAATATGATCAGCTCCCACTTGGCCATGTATACAGCATTCAAAATATCAACAAAAAGAATATCCACAACTTTGACACTGGCAAGAATGGTCAGTATTGACAAAATAATCATGTTCTCAAGATCATCTTCCACCTTCATATTGTATAGTAAGATAGCTAAAGAAGCAATCTGAGAACACAGTGTCACTAAGACATTGCTAAAATCTCAGGAATCATTTGCACCAAATTACAGAAAAGCATGCGTACTCTGAAGTCATCCATGGTGCAAATGCTTTAAATGCAGATGGTGGTATATTAATCTCATACAGATAGTCTTTGGCTTTCAACTTATAACAGCCCTGAAAAAAGTGATTTACAACCAATCCTTACAACAGCTGCAGTATCCCCATGGTCATGTGATCAGAATTCAGGTGCTTGGCAACAGACAGGTTGCAGTGTTCCAGGGTCATGTGATCACCATTTGCAACCAGCCCAGCCAGCTTCTGACAAGCAAAGTCAATGGGGAAGCCAGATTCATTTAATGACCACGATTCACTTAACAACTGCAGTAATTCCGTTAATAACAGTGGCAAAAAAGTCATAAAATTGGGGTGACTCACTTAACAACTGCCTTGCTTAGCAACAGAATTGTGGTCCCAATTGTGGTTATACAGGTAAATCAAGGACTACCTGTATTCCTTCTAGTGATTCTTATTTACTTTAAAAGAATGTATTCTTTTATACATTAACTAAACTAAAACCTGTTAGGGAAGCCTTTAGATAGGCTTGCTCTCTTTATTATGCATTTTTGTCCTTTTTTAGCCTTTTGTTTTAGCAAGTATATTCATTGTAAATAATTTTAAACTTCCTTTAGGGCAAAACCTTTCTCAAAGCAGTTTGCAAAAATAAAATCATATGCAAGAAATGGTAACAAGAAAATATGAAAGCATACTGAAATATGTACATACGTACAATACTGAAATTGGAAATTTTCAAAAGAGTAAAGTCAGATATCCAACCCTGAACAAGGTAATTGAAGACTGCTAAGGAACCAGATGACTAAGAACATTTTATTTTATTTAAAACAAATAGGATCACGTGGTGTCATATTAAAACTAATCCCGAAATTCAGAATGGCTGTGAATGATTGTTTATATACTTCTTGTAAGATTTAAAGAAGTTGATTCCATGAAACAGCAGATAGATATAAATAATGAATCTTCATTGTTGGAAACCATGGGGACATTGAATGAAGATACATCGGTATCATTTCTATTCCGTAGTTGATTCATATTTTCTAAGATTCAAATCAGTGGTGGGATTCTGCCGATTTGCACCGGTTCAGGAGAATGGGTAACTAAATTTACCTGAATTTGGAAAACCAGCTGGCTTCCAGAAGTCCAGTCTAGACCTGGGAGGCCTGGAGGAGGCCTCCCAGGCCTAGAATGGCCCACCGGAAGTACATGGATGCCACTTCTGGAAGTCTGTTCTAGGCATCGGAGGCCCAGGCCTGCATCGAATAAGAGAACCGGTTGTTCAGATATTTGAATCCCACCACTGATTCAAATGTCTAATTTTTTTCCTTCAGCTCAAAATTGTTGCTTGTTTGCCAATTGAAAAAAAAACTGTGCTATCTTGAAAAATTGTTCCATCCAGAGAAAACATCTATTAATTTTTGTAACGTTCCTGTATTAAAAAGCAAACTAAATTGGTATATAAAACCAAGTCACCTCTACAAGTTCACCTCTACAAATTGTGTTGTTTTCTTAAAGTATATAGAAGTACCGGTATTAACTCTCCCTTAGGAATCCATTGGGCAGAAGCTGGATTATGCACAACTTCATTGCATTTAAGTTTGCAAGCAACCTAGCAAGCATATCAAAAGTTTTGTGGTTCTTTTCTGGCACCTTCAGGCATTACATATTGTAATGACTATTGTCTAAATGATTTTTTAAAAAATAGCAAATAGTTTTACTTGACATTTGAGATTTATTATTTGTGAATTAATTTGTGGATAGGTTTTAAAGGATTAGTAATTACCTCAGTGCAACAGACATCGAATGCAAAGAGTAAAACTCTTGTTGTAGTTATATAATTTGTCAAATCTGTAAAATGAAGTAAATGATGCAGGATGTTAATGACATTAACATGGCTGATGTACTTTCCGATTAAATGGACAATTGGGAATAACTGATTTTAAATGCCAGCTAGTCAAAGAGGGGCATTCACTGTTTCCAAATATACAGTACATACAAGCCTCCAGGAGCTGCACCTCTTGTCTCATTATAGCAAATTATGTAATTTGAGTCTAGTTTCTAAAAAGGGATGTTTGACCCTTTGCAATCATAGAGTTATTCAGGCAAGCCAGATGATTAATAGACCAGCTGTTTGGGGAATTCTGGGAACTGAAGACCACACATCTTAAAGTTGGTCAGGTTGAGCACCACTGCTATACACAGAATATGATTCAGGCTCCCATTGATCAGGCTTGCAGTACTTCCTAGGAAACTTAATATTCAGATTAAAATCCTACCATAAGAATTTAAGATGGCAGGATGACATCACACTGAGGAAATCTGCCTCCAGAATCACTTTTAAAACATTATTATAAACCCAGTTTTTTGTTTGGGTTGAAGCAGAAAATACTTTTTTTTCTTTTTTGTAATATTAAGATTACTCTTCTTATGATTGGTTTCAGACTTGAATCACCAACACGGTCTCTCACCATGAATGCTCCAAGAGAAGTTCACATCAAAGCAGAAAATGGAGATGTTATTGGACTCTCTCATTTGGATATCACATTCCATAGTACCAATGGCATGGTGAGATGTTAAAGATTTATTTAACATCAATACATTTCCTGCTTGTAGTTGGTATTCAAGGGGGGTGGTTGCCGCACGAGTCAAACTATCAGTTTTAATTCCAATAATTCTGTTATTTCTATATTTTTATAATTTATATAAAGGCTCACAATGTTCTTAGATCATTATCAATGTCAACAAAATGCAGGAGGAAAAAAGAGGAAACTTAGTATACAAAGGGATTTTTTTTTTCTTAAATACAACATTATCTAGTTAGTGTTATTAATTTCCCATATTAAAATCCTTACTTTTTCAAATGTTTCATGTCTCAGAAATCCTTACATTTCCTGCACAGGGAGATTTGAAAGAATATCAGTTTCAGCGCAATTTGATTGAGCAATACAAAGCCATGGTAATGCTGGGTGGAGAGACAGTGAGGGAACTTTAAAAGATGGCTAGATACAGGTATGGGCAGTCCTTATAGTGCTCTGCAGGTGTTTGTTATGTGCTTGGCAACTGCCAATAGTACCAGATATAGCATGCTGTGGTGCAACTTGACTGGATAAGCACTGGTGTGTGCACAGATCCATATTTGTTTCATTTGAGTTTGTTCCTAGTACTTATTTTCCTTAACACTTGGATAACCAACGTGATGTTAGCAGAACCTTCTTTGGAATCCACCATGCATCATCTAAGCCCCACCTGATTTTATTTTTATGTACTTTTGAACAAACAATTCTTTTAAACAAAAATTAATTGGAAAGCTAATATTAGGTAGAGCAAAGCACCAGACTGAAGCAAATCCTTTATTTTTAAGAATGCTTCTGAATCTCACAAATGAAAGTAGCAGAAGATTTCATTCCAGTGATTTCTTTAGAAAAAGCCAGTTAAAAGGGCAGAAGTAAATTAAGATGATTGGAAGGCTAGAGGGGAACAAATTCACCAGATTGTCTTCTGGTAAATTAATATTTTATAACCAGTGACATCTCTTGCAGTAGCCAACCTATGAAACTGCCCATCATCTTCTTAAAATCCCATATAAACCCCCTGACCCCCAAAGAATCTCTGCTTTACCAATAAAAGTACCCTGGATGATGGACTAGAAATGTATTAGAAATGTGTAATAGAAACTTTCTATGTATATAAAGCATCATGCAGCCAACAAAATGTGCTGATTGGAATAGCAATTGAGTTTCAGATTAAGAATAGACAAGATTGTCTTCTTAATATACTGAAATAGAAGACCTTGATCCAAACAACTGCTCCTCAGACTGACATGTTAGCTGTGAATAAAAAAAACAAAAAATATACTTTTTTTTCCTCTCAGCTCCTTGAAGAAATGGTAGATGTGTTTTAAATAAATGAAAGCAGCAACATGCTGAAATGTTTACAATTTGGAACACATATCTTTGGGTTAACTAAAGGGTCAATTTGAAATACTTTCCGAGGTTTGGGGCACGATCTAAAGGAGACTTTTTTCAACAATTTGACAGTGTTTTCAGAGTGGTTTTCCAGGCTATATTTAAAACATTTTTAGCTCATTAGGACATATTGAATTATGTAAAGGAGGCTTTGAACTTTCATTTGCAAATTCATAGTAAAGCTTCCATTAAATTGCTCAGTAATGAATCAAAGGAAAGAGTGGGCCCACCATAGCAGTGGTTTTTGAACATTTTTCCTTCCTAATATCTCTCTTCTTTTTAGACTGAAGTTGTTACTGGGGGTATATTTGAAAACAGTTGGATTTACCTGGTAAATGTTGCACAGCAAGAGTTCTCTTTGTTAACAGTAAAGCTACAAAGTAGATTGGTGTGCTTTTTCCTTGCAGGTCTTTGATGCTCAAAATTTGCTACTGCCAGATTTGCTTCAAGGAACAAATGGAGAATCTGAGAGATCTGAAGGACTTTATGAAATTTGTGCTTGCCCAGATGGAAGGTTATACTTATCAGTGGCTGATACAGTTTCTACTTGCTTACAATACAGTCATAATTGTCAATAAAGCACCAGAACACAACTTGATATTCTTTGGCATTCTTGCTTGGTTTGTAAAACCATCAAGTGGAAGATTAGGATAATGTAATTTAATTGTTTAGAACAGAGCTTTTCAACCAGTGGTACGGGTACCACCTGTGGTACATTGGCACCTGGCAGGTGGTACGCGACCATCCTAGAAAAGTGGTAGCAGGGGAGGGGAATGAGCTGAATCGGTGGCAGCACCGCACAAGCCTGAGCGAGAGACGGCTGGAGCTGCAGGGCTGTCAGGGCTCAGCGGAAGCGCTAGGATCAGCACTTCTTTGGGACTGTCAGGGCTCAGTGGAAGCGCCAGGATCAGGCCAGGCTCCAGCTGGAGCTCAGCCCTGATCCTGGCGCTTCTGCTGAGCCCTGAAGAAGCGCCGATCAGCTGGAATGTTGCAGCCTCTCCAGGGTCTTGTGATTTACATTCAGATGCTTGGCAACTGATTCATATTTATGACGGTCACAGTGTCCCAGGATCATGTGAAGTGACCAAAACCTGCTGTAACCACCCAGCAGACGGGGGGGGGGAATAAAAACCAAACACCCCCCCACCCCACCCTTGCTGCCAATCCTCAACAGAAATGCTCACAACAATGGAAACCTCAGACAGGAGGAAGAGCGCCGCCGGGTGGGCAGGCAGGTGTCTTGCTTGGCTGTGGCTTGGGGGGCACTTTTTTCAGTGCCTTTTAACTTCAAACAGTCACTAAGCGAACTGTTGTAAGTCGAGGACTACCTGTACTTTATCACTTTTTTCCTTTTTTGGGGGGAGGTCATCAAGTTTTTGACACCTTGCTAGGTGACGGGTGGTACTCGGATGTTGCCATATCCTAAAAGTGGTGCAATGGGTGAAAAGGTTGAAAAGCCCTGGTTTAGAAAACATGAATGATTTTAAGTTTTATCAGATATCAGGTAGATAAGCATATGATTTGTCATTTGTAGCTTGAACTCCTTCTTTCCCTTCATCTTAAGTTTCTTGATTATATTATCTTTTCTGCTTTGTGACTTTGGCTTCTTCATAAGTACAAGTAGTCCTCAATTTATAACCACAAGACTGGAATTTCCATTGCTAGGTGATGCAGATCACTAAGTGAGTCACAACTGATTTTATGAGGGGGGTTTGCTGTGGTCCTTAAGCAAATCATCATGATCATTGACTTGCTTGTTGGAAGGCCCCTGGGAAGATGTGATCCTGGGTTATAATACATGTTGGGGACCAGGCATCCAAATTTTGATCATGACCACTGGGACACTGCAACAGTCTTAAGTGCAAGGACTGATCGTAAGTCCATTTTCCCAGTGGCACTGTAACTTCAAACAGTCATTAAACAAACATAAGTTGACGACTACCTGTATTTCACCAAAATTGAGTGCAAAAGAATTCAAGTTCTTGGGTAGGATGCTTTCCTTTCAGTCTTATTCACTTTGTCTTCTAAGAAAACAGCCATATCCACTCTGGCAGCTATTTTATGAATCTTTTCGTTGTAGATACTTTTAATCTTGTTCTCTGTGCATGTTGAGTTTTACCAATTTAAAGTCTTATTTAAATGAACCACAAAACCTATTTTAGTTCTGTAAGAACTCCAAACTCTCAGTGACAGAATAGCAATTTACTGCCAAAATCTACGGAGATTCCTCAGGGCATTGTTTCATGATACTCTTTATTTATCAAGCTTTAAAAGAAATATGAAGAAGGAACTTTGATCAATCTGCATATTTTGGTAACCTACCAAAAGAACACCACGATGACTAAACATCTCAATAATCCAAACAAAGAGTGTTTTAATTTAAAAAGAATTTCCCAAAGCTGTTATTTATATTACATATACCATGACTTTCTGCTTGTTGGGCATAGGACTATAATAGAAGTCCTGTGTATTCTTATAACACTATTTTTCTTTTAGGCTTCTTCACCTTCAGTCACCCCAAACCGTATTAATAAGCAGAATGTTCTTTGGGTTGTTCTCTAGTAAGGTTACTAAGTGACAGGAAACAGATCTGAAAAATTCCTTCACCTGCATTGGTCTCTGCATACTTGATAGTGACTATGACTATTGTCTAAGGAGTTGGGCTTAAGTAAGGGAGCAGTGAAAAAAACTGCCAAGGTAAGCTACTCTGAAATAATACCTTGGTTGGATTTGTTAATCATTTTTCATCTACTCCCAAACTAGTAATTAAAAATAGGCATGGGAACATAGAGTGGAAGACGGGAGGTGAGCTGTTCCTAGGGAAAGCAGACTCCGCATTTTTCCTTTGTTGCGTTCCAGTCTTTGTGCTCAGCCCCAGGTCTTGTTGTGGGAGCTTTGATGACTGTGGATTTTCTCTGTTGCTGCTTAATGCCTCTAATGTCAGTTTGTAATAAATCCTACCTCATCCTCAATTTGCTCTCCCAGTTTCTATTGAAAACCTACACAAAGCCTCTGGTAGACAGAAGTATCATCAGTATGCTGATAAAATCCAGGCATAGATCTCTGCCTCAGGCTGTTCAAGTGATGCTGTCTTTTCCAGTGCCTGGAAGCTATGAGAGTCTGGAAAGAGAAAAAAGGCTTCAAGGCAAGGAAGACACCTTGCTATTCTTCGAAGCAGATTTCTTTATTGTTCCTTAGCTATAGGCAGAAATCTTGCCAAACTAAAGCAGACTACTTGCACCATAAAACATAAGGGAACTATTGGGGAGGAGCCATCCTCACCCTCTTTCTCTCACACAAACTATTTAAACTATGTTATCTCTTGCTCCTCTAGAATGCAGTCTCTCCCTCCTGGGAAACTGAACAACATTCCATAAACCTAACTGGGTGGCTGTGGGTTTTAGTGCATGTACAAACTCCAGTATGGTGATCTTCCATAAAAAAAAACCTCTGAAAGGGGTAACATTCCCGCAGACAGAATGGTGTGCAATATGGGGTCCTTATGGACTCATGGCTGTTGTTCAAGCAGAAGTGGCACTAAGGCCAGGAGACTTAATTCACAAATCCATTTGATACACCAATTATATTCCTATATCAGGAGCCACTGTTCACAGTCACACAAGGTTAAATCACTATCCAGTTGCACCCCATTTGGGTTATTACAACATGCTCTATGTCCCTTTGAAGAACATTTGGCTGCTTCATCTGCTCCTGAATGTGGTATAGAATTTTGGGCACAGCACATGATGCCCATGCAATATTACTGCTACATGAGGTACACTGGTTTCCAGGTGCAATTCAAGATGTCAGTTGCATCTTTATAGCCCCATGTAGTCCAGGCCCAAGTTAATTGTGGGAAGGCTTGCCTATAGTGACTTCTGCCTATCCCACCAGATTTGACAGGTTAGGCACACTTCAGGTCCCTTGTGTGAAGCAGCGTAATTTGATGGGACCAGGAGGCATGCTTTTTCTCCCTGTCTTCCTGCTGGACTTTCACAATACCCTAAAGACTTGGTTCTTCCTTCAAACACTGGGGTCTGGTATGTGCGTTTTGCTTTTATGCTGGTACAGATAAGTAAACTATGTTTTCATAGATTGTTTCTGCTATTTTACACTATGTGTATGTATACTCTGCCTGGTTAAGAGGGATTGCTACATGAATTTGCTTGCTTGCTTGCTTGCATGCATGAAAGAATAAATGAACAGAAAACAAAAAACTTCACAAAAGTATGGGAATCAAGGTGCTAAAATAAAGGGCAAATCCAAGATATGACCTCTTTTCTCAAAAGCAAGAGACATGGTAATTTTTCCTTCAGTGAATGTGTTGAAACAAATTGTTAAACAACCATCTGAATATTTTAATCTGGGACACTGCCCTGAGTAAAAGGTTGGATATGATCACCTAAATGGCCCCTTCCATCTTCAGTAGTTCTAATACAAAAGTTTCAGCCTTGCAAAAGTGGTAAACATGGATGAATATTTTTTCGGTTTACTATCCTAACTCACCCACTTTCAATTTTTGGAAGCTCAAATTGACTCCCAAACTTCTCTTTATTTCAAACCCATGAATTACAATCTGGTAATCATTTGAAAGGCCCTTTCTAGGACACTGAAAGCTAAGGCACCATTTGGAAATTGCTATTTTCTTCTCACAAAAGCAAAACAACAAAATAATTAAAAATGTTCAGGTGGGGGGATGGGCAGGTGTGTTCTCTCCTGAACACTACGGTAAAACAAATTATTTTAAAACCAACACACACAGCCTGAAGACTTTTTGAGTTTTATTATTAAATTTATTTTATGGCACTTAGCAGCAGAAATAATCACATGGCTTTGCAATCAAAGCCTTAAAGATTTCAAAGCCTAGAATTTGCTGAGCTATTTTTCCGAACACCTTTTTACATTTGTTTCAAGAGCTACCATTTTTTTCTTCTGTATTGCAATTATATTTATTTTATTTTCTCTGTAATCATTTTTTTTGTTTTGCAAATTGCATTTTTTAAGTGAAATGATAGTTTCAGTGTACTAATCAGTGAAATTTACAACCATTATATAATGGAATACAGTACTAACTACAACAAGTTTATTGGTACAAGTTTGTTTTACAAATATTTAATAATTTACATGGCATTATCAAAAGTATAACAATTTATAAAAGAAACAGTATGAACTAAAAAACTCAAATTTCTTTATGTGCCACTGTGTGAGACAAAATAAAAAAGCATAATATTGCAGCACCATTTAAAATGTATTTTTTAAAAATACCCCACTGAATACCAAAATACTTTTAATTTTATATTATTTCTAATGGTGACTCATTAAAAAAATAAATAAAACACAAAGCTAAATCAAGGCAAGGTCCGAAAGATGGTTTGGTGTGCAGTTTTAAAAATTCGTACAGAAAGTGAAGTTTTTTTGATATGTAATACACATGCAATTCTCATCCAACCAAAGACGTGAACATGTCAAAAGCACCTAAAGTAAATTATATGAAAAATATATTGTGTTGAAAAGTCAATAAACAATTAGGATTAAAATGATATACAGTCCACGGTAACCTTTTCATGTAAGAATGCAGCAGAGGTATAACCATATTCC